GATGATTGCGATGCGGATGGTGTGGCCGTAGCCGTGTACGACAGCGACGATGGTTCCGCAGATGGGTTGTTACTGTCGCAGGTTGATCATTCCATGGTCGTTGATGACATCGACGGGGAGTGGGCTTGCCGTGACAATTGTTGGCGATTTGTTCCGAGCCGGCCAGATTTGCAGCATTCGTGGCCGTGCCATGCCGGCACGGCCGCAGACGGCGAAGATGATTGCGATGCGGACGGCGCGGTCGTAGCCGTGGACGACAGCGAAGATGCTTCCTCCGATAATAACTGGTGGCACTGGCTTCCGAGTCCGCCTCTGCTCCAGGTGGAACAATATGCAGGTTACGACGCTGATTACCCTGGTCTTGTTCAACCACAGCCCAGACGTGTGATTGACGTTGGCCGGCTTGGGGCCATGTGTCCCGTCCCTGTCAAGTACCCATGTTGGGTTAAAATTGGGGTATCCTTTTTTCTTGCTCGTTTAGGTACTGCGTCGAAACGCGAAAGCACCGCACCTACATAGAGCTACTTTCTTGTTGCGTGCGTGGAAGCCAGGTTCGCAGCAGAGACTGCGACTGCCAGGAACGATCAGTCTTGGTTGACAGATGCTGCTGCTCCTACGATTTGGCAGGATATGTTGGGAGGATCCGCCACACCCTCCCCGGTGAATTTGTCGCAAAGAAAACGCTTACACGATTCCAAGATGCAGGCTTATCAGCGAAAGGCACAGCGGTTAGCAAGTGTGAATGGCTTGGTCCCGACGTTGTTGCGACAGAGCAGCTTCATGTTTCCTGAAAGTCCATCAAACTATCTGCCTGCGGACCACCAGGGCCTCGATGTCTTGCGGTTTTTGCATCCGCATCAGCGAGATTTCCGCGTGCGTTTCAGATCAGAAGATCACCAGTATTTTGTTGACGGAAAGCAAAGCAACGGATCTGTGACGGGAATGATTCATTCTTTTTGCAAAGGCTTCGATGCTGATGCAATAATCCTTGCCATGGAGAGAGGTGCTCGATGGCCGCGTGCCGGGTATCTGCGTGATGAAACCAGCTTCCGAAGCCTTACAAGGTTATCGATCTATTGCCCGGAACTCCTGTCTTTGTATGCAGGCAGCCCGCGGGATGACCGCCGCATCTGCGACATCCTGCAGGTCCTGCGCCGCACGTATGAGATTGAGGACGAAATATCTGAATTGGTGCTGTCACCGAGCCAAATCAAACTCTGTTGGGAGAGAGCCGGGCAAGAGGCGGCCCATTATGGGACCTATATGCATGCGCTTTTCGAAGCAGCCCTGAATGGACATTCAGTTCCTCCGATCTCACCAGAATATCGCATGATGCAGGCGTTCCTGAGTNNGTTCGGATGCCTTAGCTTGGCGAACTGAGTGGGTGATATTCGGCGAAGACGAGAATTTGGCTGGTTCAATTGATTTTTGCGCCAAGCTGTCGGATGGTACGTTTGTGCTTGTTGACTGGAAACGAACTGCAAGCCTTGCTTCCAAATACACATCGCCGACATTCATGCGTCGACCCTTGGGTCATGTGCCTGATTGTGCTGGGATGCAATACAGGCTTCAGCTTAACGCATATCGCTATCTGTTGGAAAAGTATTACAACATGATTGTTTCGCGTATGCTGGTTGTCTGCTGCCATCCCGAGCGATTTCCATATGCTTTTGTGGACGAAGTGCCACGCTTGGAGCCTGAGACCGAGAATATGATGTCAATCTGGCGCGGTGCCCGAAGCTCTGGGCAGCTTCGAATTCGGGACTGCCAAGGAGGCACACTGCCTGAGGAGTTGCTGCAGCAACTCGCTGTGGCGTCCGCGTGTGCGCGGCACCTTCACCAACTGCAAGCGTGCTGTCGACAGTTGCGGAGAATCATCTTGGACAAACGTTCGTGGCAACACTTCACAATTTGCTTGAACACAGCAGACATTGAAAGCAACGACTTGCAGTTTGCAAAAGCGATGAAACTGCTACGAGTCTGGTCAGCCGCGCGGCAGATCGTCGTGTCACACAGCCGTGTTCGTTCACTCCCACTGACAGCCTTGCCTGAAAATCTTGCAACTACGTGGTCGTTGCAGCCGAAGCCTGTCCGATATGTGTTGAACATGGCTTGTTTTTCGTGGGAGTCACTCGAGAATCTGTTCGGTGAGTCGCATCTTGTCTTCAAAAGCAGAATCGCAATCGAGACGCTGGTGTTTGGCATCAAGAAGCGTGATGAACTGCAGCCATGGCCATTGCCAAGCCATCCTAGATCTGTGTTTTGTCGTGTTCAAAGGCCTTTCGAGAATGACATGCGTGTTACTTATGGCCGAAGTGATGAGGGGATCCTGCCTTTGCAAAATGTCAGAGGTCCTCTCCCCAGCAGAAGTGCTGATCACCATATTCAGATTCTGTGGAAGGAGCGCACGATGAAAGTCAGCATTGATGGCATTTCGTTGCCACAGCTACAGCTTCGGCCGGAAACACCAGAAGGCTTGGACATCCACACCAAGGTGTTTGTCAGTGTTTTTGCCCCAGCCGCAGCTAGCCTGTGCGATTTTGCCGTGCAGCCACTTCCATCTCCTTTTCGCGGGAGTTCTGCAGTCAGCTGCTACCGATGCCTGCAAGTCCATGCGCTAGGCTCAGGTCACGTCGTGACATGCGACCACTGTCTACAGTGGTACTGCCCGCAGCACCGACAGCAGGTCAACCATCGCCACATCTGCGAGACGTGTGTGATGAATTGGAGGGATGTTGCGGGTGGCGTTAGCTCCAGTCGAGCCTACGTCCCCCATGTCTGTGCCATCATTTCAAACCCAGAGAGCGCGCCAAGCTCCAGCTCAAGCAGTGTGGACTGTCCCTCACACACGCTGNNATCTGCGTACCGTTCTTGGGTAGCGGTGATGCTCTTCATGCTCTTCGGTGTTGCTGCGTGCAGATGCAGTTCCTCATACTTTGTCCAGCTACTTGGCGTGGCCACAACATCGACCTTTCCGGCGTGAGCTACGCTGATGTCAAATGTGTTGTTCCTTTCATGTCTGTGTGGTCCCAGGCCGGCGCAGTGACCGTTCCATACCATAGCATTGGCCAGGCCAAGGCAGTTTTGCCGTCGGTCTGCTGCACGTGGAGCGGAAGAATTGTACGTGCAAACCGTTCACATGTGGTGTTTTCTTCAAACCAGATGCTATTGGGCGACTGTCGCCTGAATTTCGCGTGCATGCGCCGCATCAAGACTTTGTTTGTCGGTGTGCGATCTAGAAGCTTGAGGCGAAACTTTCGCTATTCTTGGTTTCAAGTGAGGCAACCGTTCCGGACCGACATGGAGGCTCTTTTCCACGGACCAGAGCCAGGAAGCGAGCCTTCTAGAGCATCATATGTGACACGAGATGCGATTTGCCATACAGCGGCCCAGCACTCGCTGGCCTTGAGCTGGACTGAGCATGACATGGAACTTCTGCTCGATGGCCAACAAATCACGTCGACGTCCGACCATCTGCCATTTCTTCTTCCTCGACAATTTGCAGAGTTTTTCTTCGTGGTTGTCGCTGAATCTGCAGTGCGTACATCTCTTCAAAATTTTGTGAAGATTCAGCCGCAGCCGGTGTCGGTAGATGCCAGTGCCACAGTAACATGCCAGGAGTGCGGTCAGCTGCGCAGCCTTTCCAACAGCTCCATTGAAACTTGCAGGAACTGCAACGCATGGATATGCAAGTCGCATCGCAGCTGCGACACTGGAGTCTGTCGATCATGCCTTCGCGACAGAACAGATTCATTGGGCGGGGCTGCCAGAGCAGATTCATCCGCAGCCGAGCGTGCAGCGCATTCGCAGGACAGCATGGACCGTGCTATCAATGAGGATCTCGCGATGCTTTGTGAAGCGCAAGAGGGGCAGGCGACTCCAGCAAAGCAGGAGAACCCTGCAGAAGCTGCGGAAGATGTCGATGACATGCTGCATGGAGAAGCTTGGGAAGATAGTGCTTGGGAGGCGTTAAGGAAGAGAAGGCTTTTGCCAGGAGCAGCTTCGTCCGACAGCGACTTCCACGTGCATTTCACAAAGCTTCGACAAAGCAACCTGCAGTTCCAGCAGGTGCCTGCTGACCCTATGGATGACTCCCACACGATTGTTAACCTGGTGAGGCGGTATCGGCTTTACATCGAAGATAAGTTTTCTGACTTGTCAGATTACATGCTGCGGATCATGACTGCGTCACTTGCCGTTTTAACTTTGAGGACAGTCGATGTCTTCATGAGAGAGCATGCGACAGTTCTGTGGATCATTGAAGGCGAGGCCAGGCTTCGATTCCATCATGGCGACTGTTTCATTTTGCATATCAGTGGTGCCTTCCAGCACTACAAGGGCGTTCCTCCTGATTCTGGCCGCGTGCATTTGTTTCTGAGACATCTTGAAGGAGTGTTCATCGCTTCATATGTTAACGTAGTAGTGGCCAGCTGTAGCGGCACTGTAGCGTAACTGACTCGGTCGCAGCCACCTTCAGTTTAAGCCTGCGCGCGGGAACCCATGTCTGCAGGACTCTTTCGCAGACTTGCGCCGGAGACTCCTCGAACGGATGACGCTGTTCTGGCAGCCATATATACGCAGTGGCAAGCTGACGGCAGCGACGCATTCTTTCTGGAGCGCTGCGCACGAGCCTGTGTCAGTAATCGAGGTGATTCGCTTCTGAGCAAGTCCAAACGGTGCCCTGACGAAGATGAAGGCGACCAGCGTGCAGCACCTGCTCAAGAAGTAGATGTGAACAACTGGCGCGTCTACACTGCGCACATGATCATGACGCTGAAGAAAAGTATTGTTCGAGAGATGACTGAGGAAAAGCTGTTCAGTTACATGATCGAGTGGTGCGATGCCGCAAAGACTGTGGAGCCTGGTTGCTGTTATGACGATTGCTGCATTCTCTATCCAGATATGGGTCCAGCTGTTCAGGCTCTCAGTGGCAACATGTTCAATATGACTTCTTGACAACATGTGTAGCTGCAGACTACAATGCGCCTTGTGTGCTGCAGGTGCCGCGGAGCAAGGTCAAGAACGTGTACGTCCGCATTCCTCATGCCCTCAAAGGTGGTGTTCCAGATTCTGTTTTTGAGCGGCTGATGAAGTTTTATCGGCAGACATTCTGGAGCAACTTCGAGGCTTTCAAATGTTGTCAGGCAGCACAAGTTCCTGGCCTGCACCGAAGCATCTACGCAGCTACGATCGTGTCTGTGTGTGCGTGTGCACGCGTGTGTCTGCGTATGCATGTGTGTACGTCTGTGTGTGTGTGTGTTGAGTGTACAAGTTGGAAAGTGAAATGCGAAGGCTGCGTTGCATCATCATCGTCATCATCATTGCTGTCTGAAAGTGTTTTCGACAGGCCTTGGCGAAGCGCGGACTGAATGTCGTGCGACTTTTCATAGGGCTGTCATCTGGTGGCGTGGGTCAATCCTTGTATTCTGCTCATCTGGAGGCCTTTCATGTCCGACATGCTTGGTTTCTCGCACGTTGTTTTGCTAGTGTCTGGTGGTGACACCAGCTTTTCCCGACAGGCCATGTATGCCCACAATTTCGCGTATTTCGATCCAAACATCTGGTATAACGAGGACGAAATGCGAAAACAAATCGAGCAGCTCAACGGCTGCTTCATTCTCACAGGCCAGATTAGATATGATTGACATTTGCCCGTACTCAAAGGTACACACGTGCGATCCGCAGGTCAGGAGGCGCCGGGAACAAGTCGCAGATTGCGGGAGGATCTATACAAGAAGTTTTTGTCAGGAGAAGGCGGCTTGGTCAGATAAACCAAGATAGCATCTTGTTGCTCCATTGTGTCGGTGCGAAGCTGAGGCATTTCTGGGCGGAAGCCATATGGCCTTCGAACACGGATGATTGAATGCATCGGCTGGAAGCGACTGGAAGCCAATCGGCTCTTCCAGTTCTTGAATGTCAGCAAAAGAGACTTCAATGCCATCCTTCGCCGGTCATTGGTTTTCCGGATAAAGGCTCGCTTTGAAGATCCTGCCGCTATTGCCGGTGTCTGGGCGGACGGGAACAAGTTGGGTTTGAAGTTTGTCGCTAAGGCTCTAAGCGTTTAATAAATGCTCGCTTTGAGAAGATCCTGCTGCTACTGCCAGTATCCGGGCGGACGGTAAAAGCCAAGTTTGTCTGCAAGCCTTTGCAGAGTCGCACACTTTAACTTTTAAAGTATTTTAAAGCTTCCCGGCTGTGTCGATCCCAGGTGCTTACTCCGACATCCATTTGGACGGCGTCTTCGCCAAAGACGAGGAACTGAAGTCATTCTTGACGTCTGGCCCAGCTGTTCTTGCGGCGCTTCAACTCCAACATGCATTCGAGACTGAGCACTCCCAAAAGGAGCTGCATTGAATGACTTGCCAAGTAGTGTGTCTGCGTAGTATATATATATATANNTGTGCCCTGGAGCAGGACTGCGTCCAAGTGATTGAAAATTTCGTTCAATGGGGAGGCGATCGCGGTCTTACAGAAGCCACTATGCGGGAAGCCTGCGGCATGCCACCACGGGACGTCAGACAATGCGCTTCCCGAGTTCAAGCCGTGATTCAGATTGATGATGAAGAAGAATTGGCCGAGCGTGACCCAGATAAATTCTGGAAAAACACACATACCTTCCTCATGAACCACATGCTTACTCAGCAGCGTGAGGATGTGACCAAAGGGATGTTGGACAGGTTGAAGTTTCCGCAGAGGCCTAACGTGATCAAGGAAGAGTTCATCAAGTCACTGCAGGACAATGGTCTGCTGGTGGCGACCGGCGCTCGAGGCAAAGCGTCGGATGTTTTCAGGGTGCATATCAAACAGTCTGGTTTGGACAATGTTGCTGCTGTAACCCGCAAAGACGATGAGTTGATCTTCCCCGAGATGTATCACATCGAAGCCTTCGAGAAGTATGTCAACATGCCTGCGCACCGACGAGAAAATGCAAACATCTTGGGGGCGTTTTACGTGTCTGCGAAAGCCAAGCCTGCCCGAGGCCGACCGTTCAAAGGCTCAGGAGATATCGCAGCTGACTTCTGCAAGAGAGGCCAGAAATTGCTCGATCAGGAAGATTTGTTTGATGAAGTCATACAGAGCTTCAACCGTATCAACATATCCTCTCAGCCAAGCCAGGCTATGCCAGCGAAACGCAGGCGCTGCGGCAGCGGCAGTGAGACAAAGCAAGTAAAAGATGAACTCAAGGAGCCTAAGGCGGAGCTGGAGCCAATCGTGCATGTTCAGTGCCAATACAAATATAGTGACTCCGTTTCTTTCCGATCGCGGAAGACTGTCATCGGCACAGGCATGCAAAGGTTCTGCAGGCGTGCTCAAGTTCACTTGGCAGCTGACACTGTGGACCTTGACGTGCACAATTCCGCTTTTACCGTCTTCCACCAGCTATTGCCGAAGCTTGCGTGTGTGCCGGAGCCGCCGGACTACGTCAAGGAGGTATTAGACAAGTGCGCACGTGATCGCAATCTGGTGTGCTCGGACATTCTGAAAACAAGCCAGGACTGGGTTTGCCAAACCTAACTGCTCTCTGTTTGTGTTCCATGCGTGTATTTTGGGTGCCTTTGCGTTTCATGATTCATGTTGCGCAGGTCCGTGGCAAGCAGCTTCTCACCAAAGTCCTGTTTGGTGGGGCAGTCCCACGTGATGTGCCGGAGGGTGCAGCTTTCTTGGTAAATCTGAAGAAGGCCTCGATATATCTCAGATGGTTGGCGTCGTCAATGTTTCCCGACACAGTGGCTAAATTCGCGCAGCCGGAAAGCAAGAAGACAAACCCAACCAATTCTGTCCTGTCCCACCTGTACCAAGCTATCGAGGATTATGTGTTATCTGCGTTCGTGGAATATCTCTTGCAGTTTCAGCCTCAGCACTTGTCCTTGCATTACGACGGCGTCAGGGTTTCCAAAGGCCAAGGCGGTTGCTCAACCGCTGAGCTGTGCGAGAAGATACAAGCATACATTCTGAGAAAGACAGGCTTCGATGTGACAATCTGTGAAAAGAAACATCTCACAGTGCTGGAAATTCTCAAAGGTGTTGCATGTAGTGTCAACGAGACCGGCTTGCCCGAAACTTCAGGCTTGCGTCGGCAAGGGAATTGTATTCCAGCAGCCGTGGCTTTGCTACAGAAGAGAGTGTCAGATGTGGAAGGCCTTATTGCTGATGCTGCCCGAGAAGAGAACAAACGATTCCTGGATGATGGGTGCCGTTCATACAAAGATTGCATGAGTTTGTTAGCTATTAATGTGCTTCCACTTCCGGACTGCACTGAGTTGGCTACGGGGCTGTATCTTCTGCACGCAGAAGGGAATGGCACGCCACATTGCGTTGGCTTAGAGGTGTCTCAAGGGCGTGTCAACGTTCACGATGTTCTGACGAGTTTCGCTGTTGCAAAGGCGGACTTCCAGCATGCTGTAGACAGTGGTATCGACAGAAGTGCATGTCTGCTCTTTCGACTGTCAAACTCGCTGGATGAGCAGCCGCAACATGACGGGTGGGATGCAGCTGCGTTGAAGGAACTGGGAGACCTCAAGGCAGGCAGCCGTCGGCATGATGGTGAGGAGCCTATTCAGGTTTT